CTACCACAGCTTGCACAAAGAGACACACACGGGGATGTTTCCAGCAGCTTGATGACTGTGCTTAAGAATCAGAGCAGCGGTACGACCCGACACTCCTCGGGGAGAAGGTCAGGACATTCTTCATCATTATTAACTGGCCCATAGCTGCACCTGTTTTTTATCATCGACAGAGACCGAGGGGAAGCTAAATGCGGTATTACTATCCTGGGAATATTTTTGATCACTTTGCCTCCAGCTCTCCAACATCAGACCTTTCACACGAGGTGGAAAAACCACGCAGACAATTTCGCGGTAAGTGGGAAAGAAAGCCATCTAATAATAATTATTATTATTATAACAACTGTACGTCAGATATAATTTGTTAGCTTTAACCTCCTGCATTTTTAATTTCTCTTTGATATTTGGGCTGATTGGGACCTGATGAATGTAAAAACAAAGAATTACCAGATTTTTTTTTAACGAGAAAACTACTGTGACGAACATTAATGGCTATTGTTACATCTAAACACTGAAGTCACTTTAAGTGACAGTCCCGCAGTGTGAAAACGCATTTTCCCTGTATAAACACAGCAAACTATATACAGTGAGGTCATTACATTTGGCACACCTGCTAAAATTGTATCGTGCTTTCCTTTACTGCTGCTGCTTTATTATAACATCCAGTGTTCACAATACAGCAAGCAGAGTCTTCATTTTTTTAAAAAACCCTCGAGAACAAATACTTTTTTGTCCTCCTCCCTGTCATCTCCATATTCAACATCTTTTGTCGACTATATCCACTATCCCGACTCTGCACATGCCCTAACCACCTCAGCCTTGCCTCTCCTTGTCTCCAAGCTGCTCAGTCTGAGCCGCTCCTCTGCTGAACTCATTTCTGATCTTGTCCATCCTGCTCCATGACCTTTAATGATTAATTAGCTAATATTTTTTCTCTTCGCAGGTTTGAGGATTGTGCAGACACTGATGATGATGATTTGGTGCTTCCAGACTGTATTGTTGTTCATAGCTCACCTGGTTCTCTCAGACTGGGCCCCGGCTGCCCCCCCAACCCAAAACAGCTTCTTCTACGGTGACTACCTCAATGAAAGCGGCAACAACGAACGTATGCACATTATTGCTCAGACCCTAACCTTTTAATATAAAATTAGTATGATAAGTTAAATCTGTATTTATTCTGCAGTTCATTTTATTGGTATGAAACTCTACGTGGACTCTGCTGAGCAATCAGTGCTTTCGGTCAGAGGGGGTAATGCGACCCTACAATGCAGATTTTGGTATGAGCCTGTGCCGAGCTCACCAAGGGAGGTCCGGGTCAAGTGGTCCTGGCTGCCCGCCGCTGGGGGACAGGAGACTGATGTGATCGTGGCTTTTGGGACTCGATTCCGAAGTTTTGGAGATTTCAGGTTAAAGATATGATCAACTGAATACGATAACCTGATCGCTGACTGTTTGACCATGTTTTTCTTTAAACTATTAACATGCACTGTCTGTCGGGCAGGGGTCGTGTGCAGCTCCGACAGGATTTCCCAGGAGATGCTGCACTTGTGTTGAATAAACTCTGGCTGAATGATACAGGTCGCTATCGATGTACTGTGGTGGATGGACTGGAGGACCAAAGCGCAGTGGTTCACCTAGAGCTACAAGGTACTGCATTTACACCTTCAGCTATCCTGTTTGCTTCCGTGAATGAAAGCTGCGACATGTAGAGTCTAGATCAGCGGTCCCCAAACTTTTTTGCACCACGGACCAGTTTAAGTCCGACAATATTTTCACGGACTGGTCATTAAGGTGTCGCGGAGAAATTCAACAAAATAAAACCGGTACCGGTACCAAAAAGAAGATGATTTATTCATAACACAAGGGAAAATTCCCAGAGAAACAGAGTTAACGATAAAAACGTCGGAAAAAAACCCTCTGACAAGCTAAAAACCGATAAAAATGGGGCGATCGTGGCTCAAGAGTTAGGAGTTCGCCTTGTAATCGGAAGGTTACCGGTTCGAGCCCCGGCTCAGACAGTCTCGGTCGTTGTGTCCTTGGGCAAGACACTTCACCCGTTGCCTACTGGTGGTGGTCAGAGGGCCCGGTGGCGCCAGTGTCCGGCAGCCTCGCCTCTGTCAGTACGCCCCAGGGTGGCTGTGGCTACAATGTAGCTGCCATCACCAGTATGTGAATGTGTGTGTGAATGGGTGGATGACTGGATATGTAAAGCGCTTTGGGGTCCTTAGGGACTAGAAAAGCGCTATATAAATACAGGCCATAAAAACCCTGAAAACCAGAAATTTCGCATCCGAGCCTCATCTTTTACGGCCGTTACCAAACGACTTACGGACCGGTAGCGGTCTGTGGCCCGGGGGTTGGGGACCGCTGGTGTGGATATCCATTATAAAAGCAGACTGCTTACATTTGCAAATAAATAATCAATTTAAAAAAAAGAAAAAAAAGAAAAGAAAAAAAAACCCCCTGCAAACAACTGACAAACATTTTACTTTCCAAATTGAGTTGCCATAGAAAACCACACAATTAACTTTAACCACTCATCTGTTTGGTTCAGCTGACCCAGTAGCCTGTGATTTCCCACTGTTGCAGATCAAAGTGTTCCGTTTTGTAGTTTGTAGTAAGAGCAGATGATTGCAAACCTACTTACTGGAATTTAAAAAAAAACAAAAAAACAAAACAACAACAACAAAAACCCCACAAGCCAGTGTAGTATCACCTGGTAAGCAAAGTAGTAACAATAGCTGAAATAACAATAGCAGTGAAAGCTTGACACACTTTGAAGTCCACATAGATATTCTGATGTCTGATTGAATCTTCCACCCAGGTGTGGTGTTTCCCTACCAACACCCTCATGGTCGTTACCATCTGAGCTTCCTGGGAGCCCAGCAAGCCTGTAAGGAGCAGGACTCGACAGTGGCCACCATCACACAGCTCTTCCAGTGTTGGAAAGAGGGAATGAACTGGTGCAATGCCGGTTGGCTAGCTGATGGGACAGTCCAGTATCCGATCACGCAGTCCAGGGAGCCCTGCGGGGGAGCCCGCCTCGCCCCGGGTGTCCGCCGCTACGATAGACTTCACCTCTACCCTAATCACTACGATGTCTTCTGTTTCTCCTCTTTGCTCCAAGGTGAGGCGAAGCAGAAGGTGATGCGAGGTCAACAAGGCCACAGAGAAGCTAAAGTGATATTGAGTGGCCATTTCCTGATGTGTAATTGTGTTTTCCTTACTGTGACATGTCAAGATGCCCACACTGACAAAGATTAGCAGATCCATTACTTAGCAGTTTCACACCCTCATTTCTGAAGAGCACAGTGGCACAGATTCCCATTATCCCTCTCTTTAAAGGTGCTAAGACTCATTACTTGAGCCTCCATTTATTTATACATATAGTGTATGAATAAATGACCTAACTGAATGTTCTAATTCATCATAATTAATTTTACAGAAACTCAAGTACAAATACACATTAGCATTTATGGGTGATAAATCGCAGCTATATAGCAGTCTGATACACGTCTGTGCAGCTAACTGTCAAAATAAATGTGTTTTATTCTAAGGGAGAGTCTACTACCTTCAGTCCTCTCACAAGATGAACCTGACTGAAGCTCAGCATGCGTGTCAGGAGGACGGAGCAGAGATTGCCAAAGTTGGACAGCTGTATTCTGCGTGGAAGTTCACGGGGCTTGACCGCTGTGATGCCGGCTGGCTGGCCGATGGAAGCGTTCGCTATCCCATCACCAGACCTCGAAGTAACTGTGGTCCGTCTGAGCCAGGGGTACGCAGCTTTGGTTTCCCACCTCCGCAGCACAAGCATGGAGTCTACTGCTACAAGTTAGATACTGAAAGAGTGTAGATCTCCACCCATCCTTGGTGGGCCATAACATTTAAATATTTTTTAAAATTGTTATTATAGCCAACAGGATGCTTAACACTGTAGACGAGTGCACTTCTGCAGTCTGCAAAACATCTACAGGTTCACAAGATGATGAACAGAAGAAACTTTAATGCTACAACATTTAAAAAAAAAGAAAGAATCTAAACTCATATACATTTCTTTCCATGTGAGCTACTACAGATTTTACTTATAATTACCACTGAAATTATTCAAGTAGAATAAAACTACTTTCAGCTGTTTCTTCATTAACAAGGGCTCACCACATCAGCTAGCACTGCACATTTGATTTAGCAGTTTTTGTAGAGCTTTTTCACTTCTTGGATCCATATGTAAACCACTACGCTATGGAGCTTTAAATACTCCAACAGAATAGTAAAAAGAAAATCCCTCGTTATATTTGACACGAGGATTCAGAGCTCAAATACTAGCATTCCTGTACTTTTTAAACATTTTTTTTCCTTTCACTTTTACTATAGCTGAGAGACAGCAGGAATATAAAACGAAAACCTGGGGAGAAGGAAAATAACATTCAACAAAGTTGCTGTCTGATTTCCTCTTTCATATATGAACGTAAAGCATTTACTGTGATGTCTCACCAAGTTGTACTTACATCGTATCTGAAGCACATGACAATCAACTCAAAATCTAGCAAAGGAGCCGTCTAGTTGATTTTTTTTAATGGAAATATATATCCTATTTATTACAAATAAAGATCCTCATACAGAACATCTGGTTTTGTCTCTCTGCTGCTGCTCAGTGTTTGAATGTATAACTCAAGCATGCCACCTGTCCTCAACAAATAAGTCTGTTAATTGTTAAACTAAAAAAAAAAGTGTTTGAATTCAACTATCCTGCTAATTCGCACACATTTATATTAAATACTGAAATAATTGTCATGTTGTAAGTTTGCATTTGAGATGCAGTAGCCTGGCACAAAGACACAAAACACTCCAGGCTTTGTCCACAGTGAAAAAGAAAACATATCACTTCCACTTCTTTAAGTAATTCATGTGCAATCAAAATAAATAAATCTGTATTTATTTATATATATATATATATATATATATATATATATATATATATATATATATAAGACGGTATGCTCTTCTCTATGTAAATTGAGCTTCGAGAAGAAGATGCTCGATTTTCATCCTGACCCCTGCCTTTTTCTGAGGAGCCAACTTCTTAAACACTTTCGTGAGGGTCATAAAGTAATACTCATCGCAGTCTTGTGGTTTTGGAGTGTCTGTCTGTACTCCTTTGTGACATTTAGAGGAGTCCATCTCTGTACTCCTCTTCATTTTCCTCCCAGTGTCACATTTGCCTGATCTGGTGAAACTGTGAGACACAGAATGGCCGCCGCTGGCTCTGTGGCTGTTTTGGCCCTCTGAATCTTGGCCCTCTGAATCTGAGACGATAGTTATGCCGTTACCGTTCACATCCCTCTCCTGTAAAGATAAAACATTTTTTAAACCAATTAAAATCTCTTGGATGACTTTCCTTTTTGTTGGTTTGATGCTCAATTGGTAGAACTGGTTCCACATCAACAACGTTGAAAGAACACACTGAAACATTTGGAGCTATTAAGCAAATAGCTTAAATATGTGCAGGGTTCACATCTCGCCATAAGGATTGTGGTAATCAGTGGGACCTTCAACCGATGTTAGCATATTTAAATTTAGCAATGAAACAGAAGCAGCTGGTTGAAGGTAATGGGTATTAGGTGACTGCTGCTTGTCTGATATATGGCTGGCAGTGCATGATTTTATTAATATAAATAGAAAGGTACTCTACTACAATTAAAGGTCTGTAAAAATCTTAAAATGAAACCCATTCTCTCAACCCCCTCAGCCCCAGTTATCATGAATGTTGAATATCAGAGACATCCACTCATTCTGGGCCATCTCTTTTTCCTTCAGAGAAGGGGAGCTGTGCCCCATCTATAAATTTCTTGGATGTCCCCCTGATGTTTTTAATAAATGCTGGTTTGCTTTGTTTGGACAAGCTGACCAATTGGAAGTGACTGAGTCTCTTTCTAAAGTGGCTACAGCTTTTCCACTAGACCACACACAAAGTATTTAATAAAACTATAGACATGCACACTAAATATTTAGGAACATTGTTAAGAGATAATGCATATCTGCTTTAACGTAGAGCATGTGCAGCACTACACCATCACACCCTCACCATGTCATATGAAGGGCTCCCTCTGTCATTTTGGAATCTTTGTGTCAATTCAGCCTGTAGTTTGGATAATTTCCGGACCCTCCTCTGTTGTTGCTCACTGCAAAATGACAGATGACTGTGGAAAGTTTTCCTTCTTATCACTGTGGCTTTGCAGTACAAACAGTGGTAATGCGCCTGACTTCTGCACTGGAGTCTACACCTGTGGAAGGTGTATTCTGAAACAGAAAAGATGTAAACATCATGATTAGGAATGAGTTGGTTTAACTTAAACTTAAAGTTCTGAAACATACTTCCAGTTTCAAAGGCTTCCCTTTGATGGCTGTCCAAGTGGATCCTAAGACTGGGGCGGTTTGTGGGTTTGAAAATTTCAGGTGAACAAAACGGACAATGAAATTTTCCTGGAGAACAGCAAGTGTTGCATTTTTGCAGAGCAGGAATAGAAGATCCCTTCCGGATAGACACGTGAAACTGGAACAGATAATAAAGTCATTAATCCGAAAATATCAGATGCACGAAGAAGGGCAGCCAATAACAAGTCCTGATTTCTGCTGGAGGTACGACAGCAAGGAAGCTTAGTAGAAATGCAATTACTTGGAAACAGCAATGTGGAATTATAAAGTTTTAATTTGTGTTATTTAATGTGCCCAATGCAAGGGGAAAAAATGTGTAATTCTGATTGCAGTTGAATCACTTTTAATGACTCTTAGACTATGTTTGTCAGCAACTGCTAGCCTTTTTCAGAGTTAAACTTACTCCTTTGCATCTCTTTGTTTAAGAGATGCAAACTGTTTGTTTGCATTTTTCTTTTTTGACCTTGTTTAGGTCAAAAAAGAAAAATGCAAACAAACAGTTCCTGTGACTAATGACTAGCTTCATTGTTAGCCACCTGCTAGATAAGCTGAATGACACTTAGTTAGTTGCCAAATAGAAAACAGTCAACCTGCTATGAAGGCAAAAGACTTATAATCAATGCTGCCTAGAATAAAAATACTTACATTTAACTGCTTGGGACTGTCCATCTTTCTCACAGAGCTACCTGAGGCCTGCTCTTCTTCTTTGGGGAGCTCACTGCAGTTTTTCACCCTTTATATTGCTTTGCTGCCTCCCTCTGGTTTTGAAGTGTCTGTCTGTACACATTAACATTTTTGTACTCATTTTCGTCATCCTCACGTTCACCTGACCAGGGGAAGCGTCGGTGCTCTGAAATGATAGTTATTTTGTTACAGTCAAAACCTTTGATGTAACTCGCCTCTTAGTGTGATGCTCAGTTTGTAGTAACATGCAGGTAACATTATTCAGCATGCCCACATCTTTCTAAAGGCTTATAAACCAGCTTTGTCACCGACTGCTAACCATTTTTAGGGTTAAAGTTACTCTTTTGCTTCTCTTATGTTAAATACAAATATAAGCAAACAATTTCCAGTGTTATGATAGCATACATATCAGCCTATCTGATATGTTGCCTGTAAGCCAATTAGCTACCAGACAGAAGAGTTAACCTCCTATGAATATAAAAGGCTCATAATAACTGTTAGTTGCTAGCTAAAACAATATTTGCATTGAACTGTTGGTCACTGTCCGTCTTGCTCACAGAACTACCTGAAGCCTTTTCCAGTCTTTTCTATGAATATAGCAGCAATTGGTTATCCTTTAAATTGCTTTACTGCCTCCTTCTGGTTCCTGTCAACAATAATTTGAGTCTTTTAATTGAATTTTACAAAACCTTTAACATTAATCCCCCCCCCCCCCCCCCCCCCCCCCTTTACTAAGTCCACAGCCTAAAGTACATGTGCAAACTTGATCGTAACTTGCACCAGTTCTGATGTAAAACTGTAACCACTGCTATCTATAAACAGTAAGTACAGTTATCAGTAAAGAAGTATGCACAAATCTTGAGTCACCGCTCTTGTCTTTATATTTTGCTAGAAAACTGCTAAATAAATGCAGCGATTTTTTGAGTTTGTACAGTTCTAATGAACATGACAGTCAATATTTATTATGACCATCTTTATCCTTTGACACACCCTGAACTTTCTTAGACAGCTTCCTTCTTTAAATAGTCTTCAGGAATAGTTCTTCAGGCTTCTTGAAGGACATTCAAAGCTCTTCTTTGAATGTTTTGCCTTTTGTTGTGTTCTCTGTCAAATTTCTCCCACACTAAGGTTGAGGTCCAGGCTCTGTGGAGGCCAATCCATGACTGATAGTTTTCCACTATGTGTTTTTCTATCTAGGTGAGCTTCCAATGCATTGAGAATGTGTTTGGGATTATTGTGATGCTAAAACAAATGCGGTTCCCAGAAACTTTCCAAATGGTATTTCATGCTGGATTAAAATTTCACAGCACTTTTCTGTGCAGAACAGCAGTTGCTGAAATGAAGCCACAAACCCTCGTGTTTTACAGAGGCTGTAGGCACTCACCTCACTCCTGACCTCCTCTATACTTGCTGATGATGATTTTGAAGCAAAAACCTTACATTTGGATTCATCACTCCATAAGACTTCTTGTCACTGATTTTTAGAACAGTTTTTATGTAACTTGGCATGCCTGTGCCTTTTCTCCCTGTTTCCTTCCTTGAGAATGGTTTCTCGACTACCACCCTTCCACTGTGAATATTTCTGATGATGCTTCAGTGAACAGTGTAGATGGAGCAGGTCCTGTCAGGTCTTTGGTGGATTTTGTTCCCCTGTTTTTTAATAACATGACTCTCGGATACTTTTCATCTGCTGTAGATAGTTTTACGTTTAAAGATATACCTGGAAAAAAAGATAATAGGGGAAAAGCTGGGAGCCGAGGATCAAGATGATACTGACAACCTTAAAGCTGCTTAAAAGGGAAAAACAATATTTTACGTGATGTTTCTTTACTGTTAACGCTGCTGTTTACTCTATCTGTACCAGACTTTAGACAGGACATAGTTTTTATTAGGTGAAGTTTTTGTTATTGAACTTCCCAACATGATCCCAACCATACTCGAGATGCTGACTCACAGTCAAACCAAATATTGCACTGTCTCAAACACAAATGCCTCATACACCTGAAAGATACCGAGGGGTGTGTGAATGTACACTGACGTTTCTGCTTTCTTCTCACTGTTCACACATAATATTTCATTTCAGATTTTCAGAGGTCAAAGCTTTGCCACCCAGAACTCCTCACCAGAGGTGTGGACTCGAGTCACATGACTTGGACTCGAGTCAGACTCGAGTCATTAATTTTATGACTTTAGACTTGACTTGAAAAAATGTTCTAAGACTTGTGACTTGACTTGGACTTTTACACCAATGACTTGGGACTTGAATTGGACTTGAACCGGTTTACTTGAAAAGACTTGATATTTTACCCCAAATATAAAATTTAACATGCATATTATATAGAGATTGAAAATGTGACGTCATTCACGGGTAGAACCGCAAAGGATTCTGGGAACTCGTGGCAAGCGGTACTAGCGCACGCAGGCTTTCAATTGAAATCAGTTATACAGCGATAAAAAGAAACACAAAAATGTCAAGAAGCCGTTGTATTATTAACTGCAATAGCCGGTCGCATGACAGCCACGAGAAGCCGACGGGTAAAGAGATCGGTTGTTATCGGATTATGTCGTTGAAGAGAAATTGTTCGAGCCATGTTTCCGAAGTAACAAACAGGCGACGGATGGCCTGGATCGCAGCCATTCAAAGATCAAATATAACGTCCCAGAACCCTCCAGCTCACAGGTTAGTCTGCTCCAAGCATTTACACGAAGGTCAGTGTTTTTTAGTAGTTAATACGTCATTTTCATAACATAATTGGTGATATAGGTTACAAGCAAGTCTGGCGCTGAACAGAAATTGTTGCGCTATGCTCCTTTATTTATTGTGCATAAATAGTGAATTGTCCTGACACAATATTGCGTTTCGCTTCTGTTATTATGGTACATTGACAAAAACATATACTTTTATTCACAGGATAAAACAGTTGTTTTGTATCACTAATTGCCCAGTGCGATTACAGCATACAATATTATTGTCACTGCTACATTTCTGTGATGGGTACCAGAAATTATTTCCACTACTAATTAATTACCGTTGAGCTCAAAGGTCCTATTAATAAACGGTTAAGGAATGTGTATTTATGACGACAATTTGTGAGATTGGTAAACTTATGATACGTACGATGGTCTTTCGTTCTACACGGTGCATTTCAAGGTCCTGCACCCATCCGTCGGTAAACTGTACCTGGACTTGTTGCAGTGACCTGAAGTTACTAAACTTCATGAGTGTATGCACTCACTCCAAGAACCGTATGATTATAAATATGCATATAAATATGCTACGATGAGATAGCTGACTTCATCTAACTAGCAAATGTTGTCCAGGCTACGTTGGTGATGCAGTTTTTTTTAATGTGTATGATATTTTTGTCATGCGATTTTAAAGCTGGTCCTACAACCGCATCCAAGAATAACATGCAGCTTATCTCAGAACTGTCGGTGAAAATTATTCTTGGAGCTAGGTTTAATTGAGCTGCATTCTAAAGAGGTGCAATTTCACAATTTGTGTATATTTTCTAAGTTCACTATTTTGTCATGTGTTGAGAAAAACACAGATTTAAAAATTACATGGTCTAATATTTACATTTAGCATAACTGCAACATACTTTTTTCTTTTCTTTTTTTTAAAGACTCGAAAGGACTTGAAATTCAAAATTTCAGACTTGTGACTTGACTCGGACTTTTACACCAGTGACTTGAGACTCGACTCTGACTTGCCTGACATTACTTGAGACTTGACTTGAGACTTGAGGATAAAGACTTGAGACTTACTTGAGACTTGCAAAACAATGACTTGGTCCCACCTCTGCTCCTCACGCTCAATTAAGTTGCCTTTGAAAATGATTTTCTGCATGATATTCACGCTGAGTTCAGGAAATCAAGGAAATCTATTATCTTGCCTGGCTGTGTGATGCAGATGGGGGATCATGTGAAATTAAGGCATGAATGTCATGTTGATAAGAATTTAAAATGCTTTGTTTTAAATAAGTAGATGCTACATATATCCTTGAGCTCCACATTACAACCAAAACATATGACTGTCATCTGGTGGATTTAAAGGTTGTGGTTCTCATTGCTTACCGAAAAGCCTCCATTTCAACCAAAGAATTGTCCGTTTATATATAACAGAAACAAAAATATGATGTTTTCAGAGTTTCGCTTTAATATAATAATATAAAACTGTCATTCAACTATAAAACTTTATGGGTGATTCAGTCCCTATACAACCACAGTGAGAGCTAAAGCAAATAATTCCTTGAAGTACATCCTAAGAAAGGCACAATCCCACCACTTGGAAAAGATGGTGAGCAAAGAGGAGCTAATCCCACTCCTCGTCCTCCTGCCGCCCCTTGATTCCAGATAAGACACTTTGATCCTCAGGTGTCCCAACAGGTGTTGATTGTATCTCCGGTGTTTGATCCTTTGAGGAATTTCCTCTGCTTTGCCACACGGTGGAGTCAGTGTAATACAACACAAGGACTTTTGCAGACAAAATAAGCAACCCCAGTCATCTCATAAACTGCTCACATAGGAATTGAAAAGGAGAAAAGAAAAAAAGGAGGAAATGATCGTTTTAGATCCCAGACAATCAGTGAATCAACAATCAGATATAAGTCATTAAATGCTAGACAGAAAACGACCTTCAGAGAGTGCCACCTTCTTACTGCTTTTCTTTGTGAAACTACTTTCTCTGTACACAAACATCCTTTTTATGAATCTCTCGTTAAATGGAAACAGGGCATCCTATTGTGAGTCATTTTATACAAATTGGTTTGTTTGTATAAAATGATCTAAAACCTGTTTTTCTGTTGAGTAACTGGTTCCCGAAACTGACCCGAAAGCAGAGCACTGTGTGTTTGGCAAGCTATGGCATCTGTGTTTTATTGGAAAGGAAAGACACAAAGAGTGCAGTTTTACAGCCATGTGTAAAAATGCCTCGAAATAGAAACAAAACAAAGGCGGTGGATAAAATTTGACCAAATATGAGGCTGCCAAGTACACAAATGTTTGGTTTGTTGGCTTTACAATGTGGACTTTTAATAA